CCCTGCCCCACACCTGAGAGAGAGCCTTCCACTACCCCCCCCCCCCCCCCCCCCCGCAAATAAAGAGAGACATTCATCTTCACAGCTCCAGACATCAGGGTCTATATACACCATCAAGCAGCCTCTCTCGGATCCCACCTGGTTCCCATGGTGCGCGTGTCCCTTCTTTCATCCCTTCTTCTGCGGGGAGTTGCTGCCTCCTTGAAAAATGCCACCCTAGGCAAGTGCCTTGTTTTCCTTGTGCTAAATACACCCCTGTCCCTCCCTCAGGGCACTAATGAGGTCCTATTTTATATGGTATGACCTGCAGGAGGTGGTAATCTTCTGAAAAGAGTAGGAAATCCTGGTCAGCAGTATTAACACTTCCATCTCAGATTCTTACTAGCTCATCAGGTCAACCTAGGACAACAGTTGCAAATAACCTACATTGTAACATTTTGTTTGTACACATAAACATAGTTGACCTAATTAACCTCAGAACATGAACAGGTGAAACTTTTAACACTCAAAACCTTTTGGAAGCTCATGCTTACATGCAGATAACTCTTTAATCAGAGACCCAGGTATAAATAAGCCCTAAACCTGGCCATAATTTTTTTTAAAACAAAAAAAAAAAAATGAACAGATTCCTCCATTCACACAAGTGAGGTGGATAGAGCCTTCCCGTGAGACATTGTATTCTGACAATGAGGATTCTTCTCTGATCAGCATCTGCAGCTGGATGATTGAGAAAAAAACACCAACTGCTAGATATCTGTTGAGCAGGAGCAGCCACTCATGGATAAAAATTTGGCCAGTCCCTGCTGAACTGGCTGAATTTTGATTCAACTATGACCAGTTTATAGCGGGCTGGTTGGAAAAAAACTGAATGGATTCCCCTATCCTCACAAGCAAGGTGGATGGAGGAATCCATCCTGACAGCAGGACTCCTCCACTCTCAGAATACACTGATCAGCTGCTGCAGCTAACTAGCTGCAGCTGGCTAATCCAGAATTTTTTTTTAGCATTCTCATTCAAGAAAATCAAATTTTTTAAACTGCTCAAACTACTATAGATGGATTGAAAGTCAGCTGGTCCCAGCTAAATTGCTTGTATTTTGATATATGTAGTGCTGTACTTGTCAGGTCTAAAAAAAAAAAAAAAAAAAAAAAAAAGTAAACAAAAACAACAAAACATTGGTAATAACAGTAAACAAGTAAACTCTAATCCCGTTTTAAAGGAGGACTGCAGACATTAACTATATGAACAATCATTCTGCACAGTAAAGAAACAGTGGAAAACCATTAGTACAATGAAGTAATTAAAAATTAATTCCAGGTATGGATATTTTATACATACAGTAGTTACATTGTTCCAGCTTGGAACTCCAAGGGAGCCGCTACTTTCTAATCCCTCTGCAGTTATTCTGCTTTCACTAAACTGACACCTCAACCACTCTGACACACCCTTTACAAAAATAAACCACACCAGTTTAACCACTTGCCCCCCTCCGGAGGATTTACCCCCCTTAATGACCATGCTTTTTTTTGCTATTCGGTGCTGCACAAATTCAACTGAAAATTGCGCGGTCATGCAAAAAGGACGTAAATTTAGTTTGGGTACACACAAACGAATTTTCAGTCCTTTTTTTTCCACACAAATAGAGCTTTCTTTTGGTGGTATTTGATCACCTGTGCGCTTTTTATTTTTCACGCTATAAAAAAAACAAAAAAAAAAGACCAAAACGATATTTTTTACTTTCAGCTATAAAAAATATATATAGTAAACTCAATGTTAGTTATACATTTAGGCCAAAGTGTATTCTGCTACATGTTTTTGGTAAAAAAAAAATCTGAATAAGTCTATATTGATTGCTTTGTGTGAAAGTTTTATAGCGTCTACTACAAACTATGGTATAGATACTGCAATTTACAAATTCTTTGCTATACAGCGCTGCACTAGTTTAACTGACAATTACACGGTCATGCAATATGGTACATAAATAAAATTTTATGTCCTTTTTTTCACACCAATAGAGCTTTCTTTTGTTGGTATTTGATCACCTGTGTGCTTTTTATATTTGGCGCTATAAACAAAAAATTTAAAAAAATATATATTTTCTCATTTCTGTTATAAAAAATATCCAAAAAAATTAAAATTTCATGATAATTTAGGCCACAATGTATTCTACTACATGTTTTTGGTTAAAAAAAAATCCCAATAAGTGTATATTGATTGCTTTGTGTGAAAGTTATAGCATCTACAAACTATGGTATAGATAATGGAATTTACACAGCTTTTATTTTCTGACTACCCATCACATTTCTTGAGGTGCTAAAATACCAGAATAGTACAAACACCCCCAAATTACCCTTTTATGAAAGTAGACACCATAAGCTATCTGCTGAGAGGCATATTGAATCCATGAAAGATTTTTTCCCAAAAGTTTCTGGAAAATGACAAAAACATTTTCTTTTCTTTTTATACAAAGTTGTCATTTAAATGATATATTTATTGCACAAGCCATGGGTATATGTGGAATTACACCCCAAAATACATTCTGCTACTTCTACCGAGTATGGGGATACCACGTGTGAGACTTTTTGGGAACCTAGCCACATACAGGAGCCTGAAATCCAATGACCACTTTGAAAGCCTGAAGGTGCGTAACTTCCTCACTACCTATCACAGTTTCGGAGGCCCTGAAATGCTAGGATAGCACCAAACCCCGCCTAATGACCCCTTTTGTGTCTACTTTCTAAAAAGGGGTCATTTGGGGGGGTTGGTGCTATCCCGGCATTTCAGGTCCTCCAAGTGAGGAAGTGTAAAGAGGAAATAAAGCCCTTTAAAAGCCTGAAGGTGCTTATTGGATTTTGGGGTACAAGGTACTTGGTTAGACTGCCAAAATGTCTCTCACATGTGGTACCCCCATACTTGGGAGAAGTAGCAGAATGTATTTTGGGGAGTAATTCCACATATACCCACGGCATGTGTGAGCAATAAATCATTTAAGTAACAATTTTGTGTATAAAAATATTCTTTTTTGTCATTTTTCAAAAACTTGTGTTAAAAAAATTAATTCTCCTATTGATTCAACATGCCTCTCAGCAAATAGTTTGGGGTGTCTACTTTCCAAGTGTCTACTTGGGGTGGGTGGGGGCATTTATGCCCAGCATTAGAAGTTTATGCCACACATCACTCACTCTTCTAACCAGATGAAGATCAAGCCTTTTCTGACACTTTTTGTTCACATGAAAGAAAAATCAGTAGTTTTTGCTAGGAAATTAATTTAAACCCCCAAACATATATTTTTTAAAGCAAAACATTGCAGCACACTAGTGAATAAAATGGTGGGTGCTGCAATTTTTTGTGTCACATAGTACTTGCGCAGCAATTTTTCAAATGCAATTAAAAAAAAAATACACTTTTTTACTTTTAATGCACAAAAAACACAATATATTGGCCACTTATTTGATAAAGGATAAAATATGATGATATGATGAGTAAATAGATACCAAACATGACATGCTTTAAAACTGTGCATGCCCCGTACAATGGTGACAAACTGCATAAGTTTTTAATATCCATAGACAACATTTTAAAAGCCTTTACAAGCTACCATTTTAGATTTACAGAGGAGGGTCTAGTGTTAGAATTACTGCCCTTGATCTGACAATCACGGCGAAACCTCACATGCATGGTGCAACCACTGTTTACATACAGGCACAGGGTCAATGCTCGCGCACACAGGGGGGCAAGGGTGCTTTTCTTTTTTTTAAGTTATTTTTACACTGTCCCTTTCATTTTTCTTTTTTTTTTGATCACTTTTAATGCTATCGCAGGGAATGCAAATATCCCCTATACTTCAATGGGCATTGTCATATATTCTTTTTTGAGAAGTCTGGTCTATCAGACTCTAGATATATCGACTGCCTTATATTATCTAATCAAACCAAGATCGGTGTGTGTGATCAGATGCTTTCCCAATTTACAAATGGCACTGTTTATATCCTGCGAAACTGAAGTAATGAAATGCTCGTAACTTCTGATTTCTTAGGACTATAGAGATGATTGGCACCATTCAGGTCTCCAATCCGCTCTTGGCAAACTGGCAGAAACACTGGCTGCATTCTCAGGTTCCCCCGATGGCACGGGGACATGCCCGAGAAGGCTGAGGAAGGCGCAGCGGGATGGGGGGCATCATTTCCCGTTGCTCGTAAAAGCAATCCTGCAACTTATTAGCCACTAGGATTGCTTTTACGTGAAGCTGATTGCTGGCTGAAAAAAATGATACTAGGATGATGCCTGCAGGCCTGTAGGTGTCAGGGCTCCGGTTATAAGACCAGAGATGCGTGAACTGACAAGGGAAACGCAGGCTCAAGTATGGTGTAACATATTGATTTATTAAGGGTTATACACAAATATAACGCACAATATAACAAAACCAAACCTCAAACTGATAACGGAATGTACACAGATAAGAGCAGTCAGGTCTGGCGAGGTGGAGTGGTCAGGCGGGCAGGGTCAGGAAATCATCGGGCAGACAAGACACAAAGGAGTAGGCAGAGCGTCGGTCAGACGAGCCGGGGTGTCAGAAACAATCAGGCAGACAAGGTACCAAAGGAGCATGGCTGGAGAGTGGTCAGGAATAGCGAGGTCAGGACAGGCAGAGGTTCATTCAGGGTCAGGATCAAGCAGAATCAGGAATCAGGCAGGAAGCAGACAGGATGCAGGTACAGGGGCTTATGAGAAACATACACCAAGGCACTGACTGCAGGTCTGGCCATTCCTTAAATACACTTCCTGCAATCAGCCTCAGGTGATGGCTGACTGCAGGAGTGAGCTTTGGTTGTTGAGAGCACTTGCTAGCCAAGCCCTGGTACTGTAGCCACAAGGCAGCCCACAAGGCAGGTGAGTCCCACCACCATTAGCAAGTCCATTCCTGACAGTACCCCCTCAAGGAGCGGCCAGGACGCTCCCAAACAGTCCGTAATGGCCCAATGTTCCACCGCTGGGTACGGCAACTGGCTGGACATCCCACTGCCGGAATCAAGTGATTGGCTGGGTCCTCTGCTGATAGGCCTGTCTTTTTACAGGAGGACCGCAGGAAGGCAGATTGCTGGAACACAGGATTTCCAGAAGCAGGCATGGGCATCAGGAGCGGTACATCGGGCTAAGCAGCGGGCGGAGGCACGTCAGGCTGTGGCAGCAGGCAGCGGCACGTCAGGCTGGGCAGCAGGCAGAGGCACGTCAGGCTGGGCAGCAGGCAGAGGCACCGGGCCATGAGGCAGAGCAGCAGGCACGAGGCATCAAGCTCGACAGCAGGCACCGAGTCATCTGGCAGAACAGCGGGCACGAGTCACCAAGCTCGACAGCGGGCACCGGGGTTTCATCTGGCACGACAGCGGGCACCGGGTCATCTGGCACGACAGCGGGCACCGAGTCATCTGGCACGACAGCGGGCACCGAGTCATCTGGCACTGGGACAGCGGGCACGAGTCATCTAGCCGGACCACGGGCACCGAGCCGGACCACGGGCGCCGAGGCACCGGGCCGGGACCACGGGGCGGCCGAGGCTCAGGGCCGGACCACGGGCATCGAGGTGGCACCAGGCCGGACCACGGGCACCGAGGCACCAGGCCGGACAACGGGCCCCCGAGGCACCAGGCTGGTCGGGTCATCAGGTTGGATCACGAACACCGGGTAATCAGGTTGGATCAGGCCATCAGGTGGATCGGGTCATCAGGCTGGATAGCGGGCACTAGATCGTCAGGCTGGGTAGGAAACATCAGGCTGGGTAGCGTACACTGGGTCATTGGGCATCAGGGTATCAGGCTGAACCTGAATTGCGGACGCCGGAGGCACCAGGCTGAACACGGAAGGCGGGTTCTCAGACGCGGCACCGGCTGACCGGTTTGGATACTGGCAGGATGGTATGGTTGGAAAGAATTTTCACCTTTTCCTGGTTTTAGTTACTGGAGCACTGTAAGTAAGCACAGGTTTGTAAACAGAGCAGCTGTAGGCAGAGAAGTGCTGGGGGATGGAACAAAGGAGGGAAGCAGTTGCTACTAAAAGGGGACTTCTTTACAGGGTTAAAGGCAGGATAGGTGTAGCGAGTGGGAGCAGGGGACTGACATTGTGGTAGCTAGCAGGGGTATACTGGGCTGTCATTGGGGGTGCTGTCAGGAGTGCAGGAAGAAAGCTTTGAGCAGAGGGAATGATGAGAAGCAGGACTGGTTTGTTGCAAGCTGACTGAGGCTGGGTGTAACAAGTCTGCCCAGGGACTGTAGTATGGGTTGAACACAACTCCGCTTACAATAGCTTGTCTGACCAAAGACTGCACTGCGTCTATACACTCCACTAGCCACATGAGATGGACAAGCTGCATAATGCTCATGGAAGCAATCTGGATCCTCCTCCAACAACCATACCAGCGATTCCACTTGATCTGCACTAAATGGGGAAAAAAAGTCATCCTGCTTTCAGGGTTACTAGCTGAAGCCAACTCCACACAGCCGCTGAATTAATGGTTGCACCTCAGAGACTTTTGTGACCTGATCTACCAGGGAATGCGCGACCCCTGTGCATTCTAGCAGCTGATCTCTGGTATACTCCTGTAGAGTCTCATAGGCATATTCTTTGTCATCAAAGACTAGCAGAACAAGTATATAACCTCCTCCGGATGCATCCTTCACAACAATAAGCGAAGATGGCTTCCCTGTGCAGCCACTTCTGGTCAGGAATGGCCTTGGTGTAATGTCAGGGCTCCCGGGTAAGACCAGAGATGCGTGAACTGACACAGGGAAATGCAGGCTCAAGTATGGTGTAACAATATAATTTATTAAGGGTTATACACAAATATAATGCACAATATAACAAAACCAAACCTCCAACTGATAATGGAATGTACACAGATAAGAGCAGTCAGGGCTGGCGAGGTGGAGTGGTCAGGCGGGCCGGGTCAGGAATCATCGGGCAGACAAGACACAAAGGAGTAGGCAGAGCGTAGTCAGACAGGCCGGGTCAGGAACAATCAGGCAGACAAGGTACCAAAGGACAGGCAGAGTTCATTCAGGGTCAGGATCAAGCAGAATCAGGAATCAGGCAGGAAGCAGACAGGATGCAGGTACAGGGGCTCATGGGAAACATACACCAAGGCACTGACTGCAGGTCTGGCCATTCCTTAAATACACTTCCTGCAATCAGCCTCAGGTGATGGCTGACTGCAGGAGTAAGCTTCTGGTTGCTGAGAGCACCTGCTAGCCAGCCCTGGTACTGCAGCCCACAAGGCAAGTGAGTCCCACCACCATTGGCAAGTCCATTCCTGACAGTAGGCATCATCCTGGTATAACCAAAGTCTAGTGATGTACCAGTATGTCGCTGGTCCTTGTTGGGTATATATGCTATGTTCTTTTTTTGTGTGCAGCCTGTGAGCTGAATGGAAAAAAAGAGAAGAAATCTCTGCAAGAAAAAGTGTGTGGTATGTTCACCATGAGAATAACTGCTCTGCATCCACCCACTCGCACGGTGCCACATGCACCAGTTCCAAGATTATACAATGTCTAAATCAGTGGTTCTTAACCTTGTTGGAGGTACTGAACCCCACCAGTTTCATATGCGCATTCACCGAACCCTTCTTAATTGGAAAAATAAAATATGATTTTTAAAATTCAAAACATAGGTATATATGTATACATAGGTGCGCAAAATGAACAAAACCGTTAACAACAAAGAACAAAACAATTAAAACATGATTTTCACACAAAAACAAAAAAACATAATAATGAATATTTACTGCACGAATCATATGAGTCAGGTGTGGGTCTTCACCTCCGCCGAACCCGCAAGACTGACTCACCGAACCCCTGGGGTTCGATCGAACCCAGGTTAAGAACCACTGGTCTAAATAGTGGCACACTTCAATAAAAATTGTCCATGTATAAGTGGTACCTCATATTGAAAAAGGATGACACCAAGTCCCAAACGATCTTGCCATGTAGTCTGAGATCCCGGGGGGCTCAACGTGACTCTCTTTTCCCTCGTAAATCCAAAACTTGTATGTATAGTCTGTTGCCCTCTCACAGGTCTTCTACATTTTGACCCCATATCTGGGGGAGAAGTTGTTTCAATGCAAGGTGGCCAGAAAAATTAATGAAGGACTCATCAACGTAGATTTTTTGCTGGGGGAGTATAGACATCTGCAAATTTTTGGTTAAGGTGATTTATGAAAGGCCGAATTTTGTGGAGCCGACCAAATTCAGGGTCACCTCGAGGACGAAAGAGTGTATGGTCATTGAAATGCATAAAACACATTATACTGTCGCATCTATGCCTGGCCATGGCAGCAGAGAACACTGGCATATGATGAATTGGGTCGGTGGACCAATACAACCGCAATTCATTTTTTTAGTGTGAATTCGGAAACCGTAATGTGTTTCAATGCGAATGATCTGGCAAGGTTTGAATTTGGGTTGGCGGCGATAAATTGTTGTGCATATAAATTGCTTTGATCCATAATCAATGCATACATATATTCCATGGAAAAACAGCTCCAAAAAAACCAATGGGAGTAGTTAAATTTGCTATTTCCACCTGAATCCAGGTTGGGCAGTGAATGGGGGAAGTACAGGTGCTGCAGAATTTGAGGGCTGCCAATTGGGATTTCCAAGCACATCTGGAAGGATACTAGGGGCTCTATGGGCCTGTGTGCGAATTCATGGCGTGTCAGGGTCCTGTCCATGGTAGAAGTTCTGGAAGATCTTGCATTTCTGCCAGTACCCTGCATGGCCGCAGAAGCACACATTAGCCTCAGTTTGGTGCCAGACGGCCTTTATAAGGAGGCTCATCACTTCCTCAAGTTGCTGGATGATCTCTAGCTCCCCATGCCTTGTTCCTGTTTCCTGTGTTACTGTGATTTCCTGATACCGACTTGGCTTGCTCTTGGACCTGTCTACTCTGCTTAACCCATGATCTGACCTCGGCTTGGCTTACGGATACTCTCTCTCTCTCGCTCCTCTGTGTATAACCTCGGCTATCCCATCTGACTACGTCTGCTCTGATTCCCACTTGGTACCTGCCTTGGCTTGAACCGGTTATCCAGTAAATCTCTAAATCCCGGAAGGGCTGGCATACCTTGTACAGGCGCCACCTGTCTGCAGACCTATCTCCGTACATCAGCTGGGTGGACCACCAACCAGCACTCCTACAGTTTTGGCCTGACTCCCGCTGTCCCACTCTCAGGGGAGTCTGGAACTTAGCCGCAAGGGAAGCCCTCTCTCCATTAGCCTTCATCACCAGGTACGTGATATTATCATCTAGCCAGTATGTCTGAAGCCGAGAGAGGCGCTTTCGCACTAGAGGCCCTGTACCAACAAATGACGGCACTTACTCAAGCAGTGAAAGATCTACAGCAAGGATACTTCCAGTTGGAAGGGAGTCTTCACTCCCTCTCAACTTCTGCAGACCAGGATCCTTCCACCAGTTCTAACCCAGTAGCCGCACCTGCTAGTCTGTATCCTGCCACCACTCCTGCTGTGGTGTTACCACCTCCAGAACTCAGAGTCCCTACTCCTGAATTTTTCCTTGGGGATCGACGTAAGTTCAGAGCTTTCAAAAATGCCTGTGAACTGTATTTTGCTCTACAACCCAGAACCTTTTCACTGGTAGCGGTCAAGGTCGGGTTCATCATCTCCCTCTTGTCTGAAGAACCTCAGTCTTGGGTACATAGTCTACTGGAACAGAAAAACACAGCACTAAACTCAGTGAGTGAATTTTTTGAAGCCATGGCTGCCCTTTACGATGATCCTCTGAGGACCTCCACTGCTGAGTCCACCCTCCATGCTCTACTACAAGGTCAGCGGCCTGTGGAGGATTACATAGTGGAGTTCCACAAATAGTCAACGGATACTGGTTGGAACAATGCAGCATTAAAGTTCCATCTAGGCCTGTCCGAATCACTCAAGGACGAGTTAGCTAGGGTGGAAGCTCCTTCCTCCTTGGAGAACCTTATCCTGCTCTCTACCCAGTCTACGGGAAAGACATACTTAGACCTTTCGACCCACATGGGTTCTGCCAAAGATTCCAGGACCAACAGCTCTTGCCCCTACTCCGCAACCCATCTGCACTTTTGAGGTAGAACCAATGCAAATTGGCCTTCTCCAACCTGCCCTAACTCCAGAAGAACGGCTACGCAGACAGCAAGGCAATCTATGTGTCTACTGTGGGGCCACGGGCCATTTCTTGCATAACTGCCAGTACGACCAAGTAAGTCCAGCCAGCCCCATATTTCGTACCTTCAGTTATCTGGGACTTTAAACCATGACATTCTCCCCATGTCATTGCAGATGGCTGGAAGGGAGGTCAAGTTACAGGCAGTCATTGACTCAGGAGCCTGTAGCTGTTTCTTGGACATCAAATTGGCCAAGGAAGACCGCTTTCAGAACACGCTTTGGACATTTCGAGTATCTAGTGATGCTGTTTGGGCTATGTAATGCCCCTACTACGTTTCAACACTTTGTAAACGATATCTTTAGAGAGTACTTTGACCTTTTCGTAATTGTCTACCTGGACGATATCCTAATTTTCTCTACCTCACTGGAACTC